CAGTTTCCGAAAGCGCAATCAATTTTAATTTACGATAAATCTCTTCCAAACGTTGTTTAACATGATCTGAGTTGCTAGAACGTCTGAAAACACCATTTTGATTTGCAATTAGTCACTGATTAACGGACAATCAACAGAAAATCGAGTTTCTGAAAGCGTTTTTCGGTGGTCAACGAGCTGTCAAAAGTTTTATTAAGTAATTGAGTACTGTCTATTTTGACGATCAATCGTCGGTTAAACACGTATTTTATCAAAAATCTTAGTTTTTATTAAAAATAAACATAATTCTCTAATACGTTGTAAGGAAATTCACGTGTTCTATTACCTATTTATTATTTATTATTATGCGAATATATCATGCGATTAGAAAAAATTGAAAATGCAATTCAAAAGTTAATAAATAATATGGATTCTTTCTTTTTCTAATACTTACTTGTTTATTATGGATAAAAGTTCATTTTTTTCACGTTCTGTAAAGTTTTTTTTGACATTTTGCATGTATTTATATAAATTAAATTTTATTATAGCTCGGATTTTTATGTTGGCAATCGCACGGTGACAGGACTGGATAGTGACGTTAATTTAAATTTTGTTTAAAAAGGGACAGCTATACAATAGAAAGAGTTAGTTGAAGTAAATCATTCATTTCATTCATTATCATTGGTTATACAGTGATTAGCTAATTTTTCTTGGACAAACCTTCCAGAAATCCAAGGCAGTTTAACATGAGATTAACAGCTGATCATTTTTGACATAGTGTTATGTGATTGCTGCTTTGATTGGCCTTTCGGAAACTGGGCATAAGTCAGTTAAAAATTCAATTATTATCGCTGCGATAATACAACTGTCACACATTACTTTTTAATGCCCTGTATGTAGTAAAAATAGGTTTTTCAAAAGATTTTTTAGCAAAATCTACACATTTTATAGCAGCAAAAAAAATATATGTTAATCTTGATCGTACATTCTAAGGGAACATTGTATCCATAACATGTTCTCGATATATTTTCTCGATAGAAAAAAATCATGAAACTACCTCTAAAAGAGAAATTCAAATCCAAAAATGAACGTAATACATCAACAAATCTTAATGAAATTAATATTAGTGGTGTAGAATATATTAATAAAAAGGATTGTTGTTTTAATTTTTTGATTGATGTAAGATATTTGTAAATATTAATTTAATTCATTAAAATTAATTCGAACGCGATGGCCAAAACACCGCGCTACCGCGGCGTTGTTTCGGTTCTCTTCCAACTCCACACGTTGAACAGAGAGCGCTGAGGCGCCTTGCTAGATGAACTTATGTCGCTCATCGCCCGCTCACCGTTACGAAATATGTTTCGTATTTGTTTATTATTGACAGTTTTAATATTATTAGACCTTCCAAAAACACGAAACTAAAAAATATATATTCACATATTTCGTATTTATAAATTATTTGTATGTATTAACAGTTGTTAATTAATTTATTTAAAGCGTAATTTCAATGTCTTATCTCGTGATTGGTCTATCAGTCCCAAACCCGTGGGTTCTGGCTAGCCCACCGGTTCTGCGTCAGATGAAGCTTTAATAGTCTCGGGACTGAAAGCAAAAACATCAGTTAATACAAGATGGTCTATCAGTCCTATACATACAGTGTATAGGACCATCATTCTTTATGGATTGGGTTCAAATCCCTAAATTTTTTGTTGTACTTATTGTTGATTTTCTTATTTGGGAATATATCTTAATTACCATTTAATTTTTGTTGATTTTTTATTTTCATAAATAATTACAACATAAATATTATTGTATTTGTTCAAAGTTGAAACAGTTGGAGAACAATCTATCAGTAAATAAACCAACTTTTAGTATTAAAATTTTTTAACGTCATCTATTTTTTTATTAAAATATTTAATTTTTCACGCTAAAACAAAAATTTATCTTATACACCAAAAATAATTGTTTTATAATTTTTCTTATTAATTTGTTTATTTCTCAAATTTAGCCATTTTATAAAGGAAAAACAAAATAATTTGTTGGCTAAGAAATTAAAAGTGAAAATAATATAAAAAATACAACTCCACTCGATGACATACCTACAGCAAAAGTTGACCGTTGTGTATAACGCTCGGACCAACAGGCTACGCGAGGTCTGTGCAAAGTGACAAAATTTCGATTCTTGTTATAATTGCTGTCGTTTATCGATACAAATAAAGATTTTATCGATAGTAATTTTTAAATTTCATTTTAATTGACAAAGTATTATAACATAGTAAATCTTGAACATTTAAAGGATAAATTAAAATTCCTAATATTTAAAAAAAATTTAATAAAAATGTTAAATTTTAATCGTAATTTCTGCAAAAATGTTATGAGCCATTTCTTTAAAATAACAATATAAACCATGAAAACAAAAAATTATAATTATAAGTAATTTTTTAATCAATTCCTTTTCCATTTAATTAAAAAAGTAATAATAAACAGGAAGAAGATTTTCTAAAATTGTTGATTGCTTTCTCATACTTTATATTTGTTTATCTATGTACATTTTCGAAAGCCTTCCATGATACTATCGATAGTATCCTACAGCCCACCACTACACACACACTAAGCATTGAATGACTTGGTCTAGCGGCGCGTCGACGAAACTCGCGCGCTGCGCGCCGCTAAGCGGCGTTACCCCTCCTCCGCTTCCTCATACTTCACCACCCAAATAGTTAAAAATTCACTGCATACAGCGCCTTAATACAGCCTGCAAGGATTTCATCCAATAAGCCGATTTTGCAGAACGATAAAGTTTTGTAGAAGAAGATTAGGTCGCAACTCGATGTAAGTTTCAATGCGCGACGCAGCCCGGGTTGCGGCAGCCCCTAGAGCAATTCAATGAGTGTCTAGGTGCTCGATATAGTTTTCAATATTGTGACAGGTATGCCTGAAAGAAGTGCTTCTTGGCGTCAACGTATCCACGTGCCAAGAAGAAAACATGTCATTAGAACATTAGCATTAAACAGGATATTTACCTATGTGGTATTTACATAGGTATGTGAGCACTTTTTGATATTGTAACAAAACACGTAACTCAAGATTTTGTAAAGATCATTGGTATTGTATGATAGCGAACAAAGAAACAGCCGAACCTTGAAAACTTAAAATATTTTATTTCAATAAATATAATATAGTTACCGAGTCACGTAGTGTGAAGTTTCGTTTCATTATTTTTATTCAAGGTCATAAGAAAGAAAATAAAAAGAAGACAATTTCTTATCAAAGCATTGTGATAATTTTTTACTCGAATCAAAATTGTAGTTGTATTTACAATATGTAACAAGGTATATTTTATTTATTTACGGACACTTTTACTACTGTGATAGCACTAGCAGGATGTATATTTTAAAATTCTGATAAAATCCGGGGAAATAATGTTCAGTTCAAATAATGTTTACTGTTATTACTATTTAGTTAGTTCATATTTATTGCATGCATGCAGGCAGCATCTTCTGCTGTTGTCCGAAAGGGCAGGCTCGACTGGAGAAGTGCCACAGTCTAATTAACTAGGAACAGAAGTATCTCTGGCGTCAATGTATTATATTCATGGGGGGTAACGACCCAATTGGCGTAATGGATAGTGAACCTGTCTTTTGTGCCAAAGGGTGTGGGTTCGATCCCCAATACCGGAAAAACACTATGTTCATAGTGTTTGGTATTTCCAGTGTCTGCGTGTTTACATATCTTTTTTTAGAGTCCTGTACCCAAAGGGTAAAACGGGACCCTATTACTAAGACTCCGCTGGCTGTCTGTCCGTCTGTCCATCTGTCACCAGGCTGTACGTCATGAACCGTGATAGAATTTTCACAGATGATGTACCTTTTATTAAATTGAGCCCCAGCTACCTCACTCACGAGGCGAAACGCAGGAGTACAAAACTTCCACTTCACGCTGGTCCTCTGTAAGGTCGTGGTACTTATCCATTCGTGCAACAGAGAAGACTGTTGCGTGGCTCTACCACGGTAAAGTAAATCTGATATATGTAGTTATTTACAAAATAAAAGTCTTTTTGAAGAATACATATATACAATTCATTACTTAGTTTTAGAATAAATAATGATGTATAAAAATGTGCCCTGAAATATATATATTTTTTATTATCACTGATCGTCGTTGTATGTTCTTTTTTAACTTTTCACATAAGAAACAAAATATTAGGTATGTCTCTTTTTACTAGAGGTTAACTGCTATTGAAAATGTCATACCTTAGAGGTCTGTCAATATTTGTTGCCACTAACTTTCAATACCAATATCCAAATAATATCCTGTATAATTTGAAGCCCATAAAAGTGTACTTAAAATTTTTACTGTGTGAGATACTGAAATAGTGTGCTACCCGAACGACCAACCAACGTACTCCTTATAATGTAGTTATGTTATGATTTAAAACAAGACGCTGGTTTAATAACAAGGAAACACTATAAAACGGAAAAGATAATTTGATAAATATATTAATATAATAACCACCTAGCTAACTACTGCTTACTACTGCTATATAGGATTGAAACAACCGTTTGACCTTGCTTCCAACACTGCAATGTAATCATTTTTAGGGTTCTGTACCCAAGCGGTAAAACGGGATAATGGGTTCCATAACTGAGGAACGGAGACAAAAAAAAAACAAAAACTCACACAAGTATTTGATTTTTTTATTTTTTAGGCTTTAACTGTGCCTGCATCTCATCGTAATCAATTTCCGCCCGAAAACATGACCAAATCTCAACAGTACGTGAGCGATCAGACCCAAATTGTTCCTTCTCATTTGTATCCGTTTGCATTTCTCGCTAAATATCGATTACCAAGAGTGATGCGTAGGTTCTTTGAAAGAGAAAAGAAAGACAAAGAATTCACTCCGTGAACGATTTTTTTAGAATTTCATACCATAGTTTTGTTCTGCAAAAAGAAATATCGAAAAGGTTGATACAATTAAAACATCCCAATACTTTAATACTATAATATATTGCTGCTTATAACGGTATAGGAACGTTGATGAGTTCTTCGTATGGAACGGCGAGGAAGAACTTTTCTATCGTTCTAATTGCCAAGTCCACGGCGTAGTCCACAATTGGCTTTCCAAACTCTTCACTGACGGCCTTCCAGTTTTCATTCAAAAAGGCCAGCACTGTGTCACCTTGAAAATTTTTTTTTTATACGTATGAAAGCGTATTGTAAAAAAAGAAATTAAAGAGAACTTATGTCACTTCGTTAAAATAAAATAAATAAAGTTTAAATTATAAATCAGTGAATTTTATTCATCAGCATGTAATTTAAAAATCATAAATCATATAAATCAGCATATAGTTTAAAAAGTATAAATTAAGTATCAGTAGTAAAGGCTGATGCATCAGACTGTTATTTTTTAAATTAGTTAGTTCAGATTTCTCCCATACAATTTTTTTTTTTACATTTATGCCGAGGGTGACACCAAATTAATAAGCTCAGTTAAAGGGGTATTATATTAGTAATATTCGTATACATCGGAACTTGAGAAATTACTTATGTTAAATTGAAAGCAGATAAATTTTCTTGCAATGCTTTCTACATACAACTTACAACAAACAAATCGATTATATAAAATACTTTAATGTCGTTAACGAAAAGATTGAGGAAAAAGATAAAATTTTATGTTGTCTCTCACACACACATATACATATTTGATTCATCCGTAAACAATTCAAGTTTCTCATAAAATAGTTCAACACACAAAAAAATGATTTAAAGCTAGAAGAGGATTTAATAAAACTTTTTGTGTTTCAATAAATCATGAACCACTAAAAATCAGCTTGATTAATAAAAACTTTACGTTAATAAAATATTGTTTCCTTATTGATTGTTAAAAATAGGAAATTATCAACTATGAAATACTTGGTAAAAATTTGATATTTCATAAAATATCATCCACAAGCAAGCATAAAGCGAAAAGAAGTTGTAGCAGTGGCATTGACAAGAAAGACCGGACATTAAGTAGAAATAAGACATTAATTACACATTGGACAATGACTTTGTTGAATAATCAATAAAATTATAAATGGTCTTTACCCCTCTTCCTTCAAAGAGGCTACGGAAATTAAGCTATTATTAGATACACTCTGATCTACTTTGCTAAGGTACGATCATCGAAAACTAACTACAAGACAGACAGAAGATATAGAATTAAAGCAAACTTTAATAATAGTAACGTAATACTCACTTAGTTCTTTGCTCTCTTTGAAAAGATTTTGTAAGTCAAACTGTACTCTGTCTCCATAATCAAATGTATACCTGTAACCTTTCAAAGCAAAGTGATTGACGCCCTCCTTGTCCTTTATGTACTTTGTGTCTATATCGACTTTCATTTTTAGGTTTGCTGTAATTGGAAAAGTAAATTTGTTATATATATCAAGTAGCTTAAAATAGCGCTCATTGTGGTTCATTACTAATCTTTGACATTATTGAAAAATAATTTAAATATGCTGTGGTTTATAAGAAACTGCTTTTCACAAAGTTTCTCATATATGAAGAGAATAAAAATTTGTATAGTCTAATAGCTACATGTAATGTCTGTGAGGATATTCACTTTAATGGGTTTACTTTCACTTTTATTATTTTACTGTTATAATTTTTAATTACATTAATAAATTTACAGAAAATTTCGAAAGTGGCTTTATATTCGAAAAAAATAACTTAATTATAATTAAATATAATTAAAAATTATAACTTGTTTAGTTATAATTTTTTATTATATTAAAAATTAATTATTAATTTTTAATTATTATATTAGTTAACAAACTATCTTTAGAAACTGACATTCTCAATAGGTAAATTTTAAAGCAAGCTTAATATAAAATAAGCCTTAGTAAGTTTATATGGAAGGCAAAAAGATCTATCTTAACATTGAAGAATTTTTGTGTCAGTGTCATTTGTATTAGTTATATTTTACTAGAACTGCTTAAGTTTTCTTATTTTAGTTGTGAAATCTGTCATATTACTATTATTAATGAAATCTGATATGTTATTCTACTTTACAAATTTCGATATTCTTTCATAAGTTATATAAAATTGTGCGCTGTATATTGATATGTCTTTTAACGCTCTTTCCAAATTTATACTACAAACTCACTCAATTTTATCTTCGCATCTCCTTCGCCGTTAATGGGGAACAACAAGATTTTTCCGACAGCGTCGTAAGCTCCTTTGATGGTCAAGTTACAGTGAAACTCTAACACAAAGTGACGTTTCTCGAGCTCCGATCTGAAATTAAATAAGTTAAGCTTAAATTTTGTCCAATGAACATTACAATTTGGCACTGACTGATTTTATATGTAGCGTTATGATTTTTGTTGGATTCGATTTTCATCTTGATATTTTGATTGTTCCTAACTATGTATACGAGTGTGGTAAATTGTACAACACCCAAATAAAGAAAATGATGTAAACGTTTTTACGCCTAAAATATCAAACTTATAAGGTAAAACAGATAATATTACTATCAGTAAGTCAGTAATCTTAACTAGTTATGCTTGTAACATATGACCTCTTCCCTCCTTTTTTTTATTACAAATTCAATTTTGAAGATCGTTTAAAATTGTTATTGTTGTGTTGGGTAACACCCAAAGAAAGAAAATGATGTAGATTGTAGTTTATAAAACGTGATGTCTGTAAGATACTCTATGTACCAATTGACATTGATCGTAAAATTGTTAACACTCCAATGAAGATAATTCTTGAAGTAATAAATGCTTATGTTAAACAACAATGTAGTAATAAGGAAAAAAGGCTTTAATATTGTTTCTTATGTTGCTATATTTAAAAACATTTTCATTCGTGTAATATAAATTCCTATGTTAATTTCGAAATTGCTTTTTATAGGGGCTGTTACATGTTTTACTCACATCACGTTATCTACGATGCATTTTTTGAAACCACTGACTTTGCCTTGATAAAATGTGACCTTGAGTCCACTTAGTGGTATCGACAGCTTCTCGATGGTGAATGGGTCCAGCGGTGGGACTCCGAGATGAGGTAATCCCTTAACAAATTCTGGTATTGCGTCCTGTGTGGCCTTTATCAAACACTCTCTATTTGTGTCATTACATGGATGAATGTAATCAGCTGAAAGAGAAGGCAAAATAAAAGTAAAGTCATTTTCAGGCGATCGAATAACAAACACAAATAATATTCTTATAATTAAAATTTTGTTGTATGTGACAAAAACTTGGTTATTAGTAAAAAAAAGACAAAAAAAAAAGGTCTCAAGACCATGGACACTGGTTTTCTACTTATACGAATAAAAACCATAAATAAACTTAAAACTTGATCATTTTAACATGGCTTCTGTGTTTTCCATATCCAAGTCATCGGTACTTAAAGTCATTTACAAATGTTTGAAATTCAACACACAAATGTATTGAAGTTAAATTAATTATTTTATATAGTTGGATAGATTAATTATTAGTAGTAGAAAATACATTAAAAATTGTAGAATAAAATACAATAAATTGTAGAGTATAATCGTAATAAATAATATCATCCACGTAAACAAGAGTATTTCACGTATTCATCAGTTAAAAAATATAGTCGGGAACCAGAATTATTTCCAAATAGTAGACATTATTTATCATTGTTCTGAATTGTTATAGCACTGACCGCCATGGCTGCTCGCCTTAACCCTTCGGTATATACATTTTATGGCTCGTCGTGTACAAACTTAATTGTGTTCTTACCTGTATATCTGATGGGAATATACCGAATTGAGAGAAACGAAGGTTGTGTAGCACGTAAATATTAACTAAACGATGCGAACCATTGAATGTTAAGCTCGAAAAGATATTCAAATGTAATTTGCGTTACAACATCAACCTTGATAAATCTAAAAGTGTTCGTAGTCTTATGTTTCAAATTAAAGCTTTATTGTTTTATTTGATATAGTATTGAACAATTTTCGAACGCATTGAAAACAATAAATAAATAGCCAAAAATGAACAGTTAACAATGAGGAGGTCATAGATTAGCGTGTCTTCAATTAATAATGACACGTAATGCAAACTCATAATAACTCTCCTTTTTTCTAAAACCCGACGAGTGCTTGTCTACTATCCCACCTAATGGTAATTACGTTATCTTAGATGGTAATCACTAGCTCAGTAACAGCCTATCGTGTTCTAAGTAGCAGTCCTTGAAGGTTTTTTCGCCAACTTAGCGTTAACGTTGACTTTGATTTTTGTTAACTAGTTAACGTGATACTTATGTCAATTTTCATGGATGAACGGATTTTATTAGACGTTGCAACGTTCGACGTGTCTGAATCGTCTGACTGATAATTATCACACTATATACAATTACAAAGTAATAAATTTACAAAAAAAGACACCTTAAACGTAAAACGTAATTCTGGTGATATTTATGAAGCCCCAAAATGATGCGCAACTGTATACAAATTGTCAAAAAAAAATAACAAGAAAGCGAACAAACATGTCGTTCACAAATATAAAGAAACAATTCCACAAATATCGTAATCCTTTTTATACGAATTTTAATATCGTAATCCTTTTCTGAAAAACATTTCAAATAATTATCATATTTCGGAAACGTTATTTTAAATGTAAGTTTTTTTATTTATACAGTTTTCCTTGCTGTTGCTATAGCCCTTGACTATATGCACCGACCAAAGTTGGGGAAAATTAATACAAAGCATTCGGAAGCCAGTCGGAGTTTTTTTAAGGTACATTTCGAAAAGTAGGAAACAAGGATATTGGGCCGTTTTCTGCAGTGAAATGGCACACTTGGGTTTTGGTGCCATTAAATCGCACAATTTTGGCATAGCCCAGATTAGAGACTGCCTGCAATGTGAAATTCAAAGGCTGTGAAATTCATAGCCTCATTTTCTACTCGGTTAATAACCCTGAGCATTTAAATAGACTTTTTTAATCTCCAATTTATTGTCAATATAAATTATTTCATAAGCTCATTACTTGGAACTGTCAATTCACGCTTTCCTTTTTCCTTTCCTATTTTTCCCGAAATCTGTGACTATCTCATTGACGTATAAATGCCTTCATCCGATGTTCATAAGTGATTCATGTATACCTCCCTCTGCTCTCTTCTTTATGTCTCATTAGCAAATATTCTTTTCACAATGATTGTCTGGAAGAAATCGCTTTCTGAGCGATAAGACCGCCTATTGTACTTCCTTTTATATTCATTTGTAATTTGCTTTTTATATATTTTTATTTTTGGTGTGCAATAAAGTATAAATAAATAAATATTTCTATTTTATTTCGTCAATGTAGCCATATCCCACTCCATCCAAACTGTCTTTCTATTTCTAGTATTTTTTTATAAAATCCTTACCTAATATCATTGTAGGTATATAGTTTTAAAATATTTTATATAGTTATACATATAAATAATTCTTGAATAAAAATGCAATTAATATAATTTTATCCTGATATGTTATGCTCAAACGAGACTGCCGATTTGGGTAAAACTTTGTAATAAGGTAATGTTTGACTTTCAAAGTTTGTTTAGGTAGAGGCCCAATTTAAGAAATCGTCTTCAGTCCAGTATTTTACATTATAAGTAAGCTATTAAATCTATGCTGTTATTTACTAACGAAAATTGGAATTGTATTTTTAAATGTAAGTTTTAATTAAATTGCTAATTTGAAATAAAAGAAAACTTAAATTTCCAATTTATGATATTACGATAATACGGTATATTATTGTTAGACATAACATAAATTCTTAGTTATCTTATATTTTTCTACGTACCGTTCATTTTCAAGTACTTTTCTACATAATAATATAAAACAATAAACTTTAAGTTAAACATACAATTTAATTTAGATTATTAGAAGGCATTAAACAGAAAAATCAGTTTTAAAATATTATTATTGCTGAATTTACATCTACTATTTAATTTAAATTAAATTAAATTAATTATTATTAATCTAAATTAAATACTAACTCAGGTAGTAAAGACAATTTGGTGTACTAAGTTCAGACCGATTAATTCTACATATTTGTTTATTCACTGAATTACTATTACACACAGTTTTGTATATATAATTCTACTGTACATTTGTATGTCACTGAGCTCCGCCTAAACGGCTGGATCGATTTTAATGAAATTTTTTGTGTGTCTTCAGGTCGATCGAGAATGGTTTAGATTCCCAATATTTATTGATGTTTTTTTAAGATATCAGATTTAAGTCGTGTGTACAGGACTGCCCGGTCCGCTGGTAGAATAAATATATAACGTTTTACGAAACTTTTGGTCTAATGTTAAATTACCGACGTATATTCACATGAATTTTGTTTATATCTTACCTATAAAAACAAAGGTTATCTTTATCTTATTGACAAGAAAAAAGGCAAAGTTATAATATTTCTACTTCACCCTTCTGTTTTATGAGATTGTGGTACTTTCAAAGACGAGTCTTCCCATTCGTACAACCATAACCATATTGCTCACGGTAATTAATATTGACTTTGATATTACTATAGTAGTATACATATATGCCAATACGTTAATACTTCCGAGAACTTAAACTTAGCACATGAAAAATAATCTTTAATTTTTTACTATGTAATGTTGTTAATTAATAAAAGAACCTTGAATTTTTAAAAGCGGAAAATTTAAGATTTTTACCGAAGGACATGTGATAAAGTGTACCTTAATATAAAAAAACTAATATTACTGGTTTATAAATAATTCTTTATAAAACCTATACACGGTCAAACTTAAAGCTGACGGAAATAAGCACTAAAGCACTAAGCAGGAACCAAGAAGGTTTATTATCCTAATTACCTACTAGAGAAAGTGTTGCTGGCCTAGAATCTGTGATACTTTTCTTTACATTGACTGATTTTAGGGTTCCGTACCCAAGAATATTACTAAGACTCCGCCGTCTGTCTGTCTGTCTATCCGTTTGTCACCAGGCTGTATCTCATGAACCGTGATAGTTAGACAGTTGAAACTTTCACATATTATGATGTATTTCTATTGCCGCTATAACAAAAATGCTATAAAACAGAATAAAAATATTTAAGTGGGGCTCCCATACAACAGACATAATTTTTTTGCCGTTTTTATGGATAGCTGACCCGGCAAACGTTGTTTTGCCATATAAACTAAAAAATATTTGGGGTGGACCACCCTTAACATTAAACATTTAGGGGGATGAAAAATAGATGTTATTCGATTTTCCACCCTGGCCGATATGCACACAAAATTTCACGAAATTCGGTCGAGCTTTTTCGGATGAGTTTAATTACAAACACCGTGACACGAGAATTTTATATATTAGATAGTACGGAACACTTCGTGCGCGAGTCCGACTCGCACTTGTCTGGTTTTTTTTCTTTGAGTCCTTAGACTATTAATTCTTCATCGAACGTAAAACTTGTAGGCGAGTCAGAATCCACAAGCTTTTTTAGGACTCTCCGTATGAGCACGCGCGGTCCTCCCATTACACATTCTGATATAAATTCAATATTTATTATTCAAAAAAGAGCTGTCCGAGCAATTTATAACATCGGAGCCCGGAATACACTCAGAGATCTTTTTAAAGAGATTAATATACTCACTGTTGCGTCTCAATATATTTATTGTAATATTTTGTATGTTAAACAGAATATTAATAATTATCAAAAGAATAGTGACAGACATAAACTAAATACTAGAAATAAGGACAAACTAACAACGCCATTGTTTCGCCTACAAAAAGTAAACAGGTCGTTCATGGGGCAAAGTGTGCGCATGTATAATAAAATCCCACAGTCGATATTAAGTCTGCCACTTGATGAATTTCAACGAAAAATTAAAAGTAAACTTATGGCTAAAGCCTATACTATTGCCGAATATCTTGACGACGCCAATGTGTGGGGTTAATACTGTTGATATTCACGTAGGCTAAAACAAGACTATTGTACCTGTACTATTATATTGTAAACTGATTTTTTAACAAAGAGCAACTGTTGAGTTTCTTGCCGGTTTCTTCTCAACAGAAACTGCTTACCGAACCGGTGGTAACTTACGAACGTGTTAATTTCTTGTAAAATTTTGACGTTTCATAAGAACGCGCAAGCGTCTATGTGAATAAAGATATTTTATTATTACTACCCTTATCCTACCACATAGGCAAAGTGCGGTGAGGAACCCTGGAACGCGTATGTAATGAGTCTATGATGTTTCACTGCAAACGGGTGTCATTTCGAATCCCGGTGGCTTACACCTAAATGTTATGCTTTTTATTATTTCGTGTGTGGAATTCATTGTGTAAAGAACAAAAAACAAAACAATAAAATGGCTTTGACGATTTTGTTGAAATATTATGTACCCGTTAGGAAGAATGGAAAGATTATTGCAATAAGACGGTTTCACACAGTAAATGTGACGAGGTAATTTTACAAGACTATTAAAGTTGCCATTTCCATCGTGACTGTTAATTAACAAGAATTTTATGACGTTTTCCTATAACTAACAATTATATGTAAATTTGTTGCTTTATAAAAAATATGGTGTTTGCAAATCATTTTCATCGTGTATGCTCACTGAGTATGGAAGCGCTTTTTATTTAACACAACATTAAAAATATTAAAGTTATTATATTAATTTATGAAAACAATGTTAACAGATATATTATTTATGGATACAATATGTCGTTTTAAAAGTTTTCATGTCAAATTATTGTTTAATATAATTCGCTTCTGATTTATATTATCCGTTTTAGTTCCTAGTAATTTACTTTAATGTTAGTCGTAAACTCTAGAAACTAATGACATGAGTAAATTAATGTCGTCCCATCGTTCTATGATTTCTGGACATATCGCAGATAATTTCAAATATAATTTGTTACGGGATTTTTGAAAAATTCACATATTATCTTGTAACACGATTATTCACATTATTGGTAATCTTTAACCTTTACCCAATTTTATATATTGAACTTTATGTTTACGTTTATTACTACATAAAAATGATTTTATTGTACCTAGTTCTTAGTGTTATTTAGTTATCACAAACTTTGCTTAACGTTTTTTTTTTTATTATATCCCTGTTACTGTTACAATGATTGAGGCTTAACTTCGCCCAGTGATTTTAAATTTCCGTGGGAATAGTTGCTAATTTTAGAAATGTTAATAACACTTGAAGTATGGAGGGAAGTTTTTCTAGCCACGTACCTTTTTAAGGTATTGCGTGGCAAACTTAATCCGATTGTATTGCAGCAGATGAGGCTATGCGTACCAGATGGATATTTGTGGAGGAGGCGGCGGCGGATGCTATTATTTGAGATTACGTTTATCGCCACTGACTCGAGCGTTTTGTACTTTAAATATAGTAGCTAATGAACTAAATTAATTGCATTGGTCATTGAACGAGTTCACATTGGCTACGTTCCATGTTCTCGGTGTTTAGTTTTAGTTATAAGTATAGTTATATGTTAGCTTAAACTGTATTCGAATTTCACTATCGCATTAGGTACAGCCTGTAATGATAGTTGTAAGTTGATGTATAAAATAAAATAAATAATATATTTTGAATCATGTCTCATTATGGTGTTAGTATATACAAATAATTATAACTCTTTAATAGTTAGCTAACTATTCCATGTTAAATAAATATAAAATTAATTATTAGAGACGAAACTAGACAGTAACTTCCGTCGATACCACGTCTATAGTGAACTCGAATATACGTAAGCATTCATTATATCATACCATAAATATAAACTTACTTATATCATATAGTTTTATTTCAATGAAAATGTGTCCACGCATAATCGCATTGCATTGTATTATATTTTTAGGTTTTTGAAGACATCAGTGAAACAATATATATAAACTTACTTAGTTGCAAAATGGATCCTGCTCGCTTTTATGGCTCTAATAAGTATGTTAATCCTATATCTGGTAATAACTTATAAAGAGATGATGAATTTAGCTTCCGATTCTGATAGAAAATTTGTTCCATCTAAAGAATTTCAACGTCACTCACAAGAAGATATTTTGTTAAACTCGAAACAGATAGTTATTCCACTGATAACAAAACTGACCCTCCACTAGCCACGCCGAAATAAATTAAAAAGACATGCAAATCATTAAATATTTTTGATGATTTGCCTGAATGCCAAAAATGTCTTCTCTGCGACCACAAAACTTACACCATGTGCAAATGTATGGTTCTCTTATGTTACAACGACAAACGAAACTGTTTGTCGGCATTTCATGATTAAAATTGCAGTGGTAATTTATATTATTATTAAAACTAAAATTTCTAATCCATCCAAATTTCTAATTTCTAATCCATCCAATTTATTCATAATTCATGCAGTAAAGGGTTTAAAAATATTTTCATTGACTTGTCTCTTTACTAATAGGACACCCCAGTAGTTTATATACATCAAGGACTTTTATATTCTTAAGTAACTCATGTTCAAACTTATATCAAACGTACGAGCAGGTATATAATATCATAATAATTTTTGCGTCCAGAAGTCTTTAATGATATTAAACGAAATAACATTTTTTTCTTTCTAATAACCTCTATTTATATTTAGTCACTGACACACTCATATTCAGAAAGTGGAAATTAAAATGTATCCTTGCACACTATCAGAATTAGCAAGTCTATGAATAAATTTATTTAAAACGTATATTGTAAATTTGTGAATGTCTACGAGGGTGCCATAATCATATTTGATCAAAATCTTTAAATATAAAATGGACTTCACAAAAAAGGTCAGAGCTATGAAATAAGTTTAAATAATTTGTATTAAAGTGTGACATGTGCGTTATTGAATTATTTTTTATAGTGAAAAATTAAGTGTTACAAGTTTTTATTTCGGAAAGTTATCAATTGAGCGTTACATTTACATAGATAAATGATGTGAAACGGTTCCTTTTGAACCGATTTTGGTAATTTTGGGCATTAGAAAGTTTATATTTTTAAAGCAGTTAACACTAGATCACATATTGGAACTGTATACGTAAAAAATTGTTAAAATATTTTATTTTAAATAAAAAACATTAAGTTTTGCATTATTTACCCAATCTTAAAAATTCCATGATAATAGTTACATTTGTCTTGTTTACCAACGTGTTTTTAGGTACTATTAAATGTCCGAGTCAATCCAATGTCAAGGAGAAATGGTTAAGCAAGAAATGTTAATAAGGGCTTGATGTAAGACTTTGCCCATATAATATATTCCAATTATTTTCGATGTCTTTGTTTTTTTCGTATAAATATTAATAAAACGATACTACACATATAAATGTGTCGATAATAAAAATACCAAAAAAATCCATTTAAACATTGATTTTTATGTAATGTTCTATACTTACGTGCGAGTTTTGCATGTGTCACTCCACAAAAACTTAACAAAAAACACAACAAAATACTTAAGCGTGCAACAAACAAAATCATTTTTGGCTAGGTTATCTTGTTATTTTTATTTGTGTGTCGCAACTGAAAGTAGCTTCGGCACTGCAACCGGCGTCAAGAATAACTGCTTTATATCTTCTAAACGGATAGACGTTACTGGGCCTTCACAGCTGACATTGTACGCCTTCAACCGGTTCCAACCACGGACCTTATCGAACAATTGTATTTTTCGACCACTGGCATTGCTAAGCGATTAAATGCGATACCTTTTCTTAGCATCACCTGCATGTTACTGTCATTGTAAATGACTAACTCCTTATTATACAGGTTTATATTTTGATGATATTGACGCCCGGTTTCTGAAACACTGATCATCGTGAAAGTTAACTAATCAGCTGTCAAATGCCTTTTCAAATGTCATTTGAGTTGTCAAAAGGATGGTTCTCTTTGATTTGATCATTCTGATTACTAAGAAGATGATTCTGATCATTAAGAAGACCATTTTGATGTTAAGGATGCCATGTAACTGTAGTTATCTGTCAACATAAATAACGATTGGTAATAATTGGGCTTGGTTTTTTAACGTTAACTTATGTAAAATTATTACTCCTGGGGTTGCCTCTACTATAATGATAACTATAATGGTATCCTGGTCGATATACATAGTATATATATAGTATAGTACATAGTATAGTAACAAGAACATGATCCCATTAACGTTGTAAAAAGTGAAAATCTACTATAATCTCTTGCGGCTGAGTTTCTGGTTTCGATCCTCACTATCGCAAAAGTAGTGTGGGATGTTTGTATGTGTAATAACTATTTATATGTGTCTATAATATGTAAATGGTACAAATTATAAATATCGAGCTTTCTATAATATCGAGCTTTGATTAGCTCGAAACACACAAATTGAATAATCTTGATAAATGTTTTTACGTAATTTAAATCATTCTAATGTAGTTTTAACAAAATTTTTGTTCGCTATTAATTTTAAAGATATATATCTAGTATATTCATAAGAGTAAAAAGTGTATTTTCTTCGCTTTTATAGTATTTGTCATAAAGTTTAAAGATGTATTTAAGCTTTTAGTACCTTATTTGAATGATAAAGTTATTATTATAATTATAGTAAAGATAATAATAACTTTATTCTGAAGAAGCCTTGTAACAGTTTAAATGCAGTTATAGAACTTATAGTTCATCATTAAATATAACATAAAAAAATTAAAAAGAAATTTGAACATACATCAGAATCTTTATTCTCTTTTCTTATCTAAACGTAAAACTGTTAAATGTCATTGGAAGTGTAGATACATATATCACTAAACATAATTATAACTAAACAATTTGTCGTACGTTTCATTTTAGTTACATATTTATTTTTAATTCAAACATTACATAAATAATAATTAATTGAACCCCGTTTTTAAAAGTTAGATATTCAAAACTAAAATTATAATGTACACCTATCGCTTGTCATATTACATTATGAAGAATGGACCACGTTCTTTATTGTATCGGTCATTAGATCTTTATTGTAGTTTAGATTTCTTGTTCTGTATGTTTTTTGTTTCAAATTGCTATTGAAAAGTAATTAAGCATTTTATAAAAACGTGAAATATCAAAGTTGGACATTGTTTTTTTTTATGTTTTATATAACCAGTTGACTTGGATATTAAAATATTAATAGATATCTTTCAAAACACAAACTATAAATACCTAAAACTGAACAATAAAATAAGATCCGAAACATGAAGAAATAAAAAAGATAATGCATAATATTGAAAAACACTTGAGAATATATGACGACCCGAATGGCGTAGTGGGTAGTGTACCTGCCTTCTGCGCTAGAGGGTGCGGGTACGATCCCCACTACCTGAAAAATATTGTGTGAAGAGCATAGTGTTTTTCTAATGTCTGAGTGTTTATATATGTTTAATATGTATTTATTTAAAAAAGAAAAGTATGTTTAAGTATGTCTATCAGTGTTCTAATACAAGCGTTGCTCGGTTTGGGACTAGAGAACATTGTGAAAAAAAAAAAATGGCCTAAAAAGTCCTAAATATGTTTGCACAACTTAAAAATATGTTTAAAAATGTTTCGATATATTTTCGGCAATACTAAATTTCATAACAGACTTTGCTTGCCCTGGATCGCGACCAACCAATGTTATGTTGAACCGTAGAGCGAGAATATACTTTACGAATTCAACTCGCCCAGGGTAGTAAAACGACCTCAAGCAATACCAGCGTGAAGTACAACTTTCAGATCTCATCTGGTGAGTGCAGTAACCGGGGCCTCTATTTTAATGTTGCCATTGCAACTGCAAGTCTTCAGGTGGTCGATTGGGGGTGTTAATCACTAATGAACTGCCTGCTCGCTTGATAAACTTTCACATGAAAAACGCAATGATATTTTCTATTTTAACCAATAAGTTATTTTTTTACAGAAATATCTGCCCCATTGATCATCTGATTTTTAAGAAATATCTAAAAATTAAAATGGGTCGATGATAATCAAAATGGATTTGGCCATATCGGGAACGTATCTTTGATCGTGCTTTACTTAATTCGATTTTAACTTATTCACTTGCATACAAAAATACAACTTTAACATTTCACGCATATTACACTTTAATGTTTCCATTTCTGATGTATCCGGCGATGCAGGGTCATGAGGTTGCTAATGGCCTTGTTCATTCTCGAGTTTTGTTTCTTCATATATTACTCGTCCTGTTATTTTTGTATCAATTTTGATAGTCTTTTCAATTATTCGGTGAATTATAAGGTATAAATACGTTGAATGGGCATCGCCTGTCCTTTAGACCAACCAAATAAAATCTGCACATAACGCTCCAAGAAAGTACCTGGAAGTGGTTCGAATAATTTTTGGTAAAATACAAGGCACGTTAGTAAACATAATGCATCCACGTGCACTCCTTGATTATACTTCTATAAATCAACAAAAAAACCGGCTAAGTGCGAATCGGACTCGCGCACGAAAGGTATTATTATATATATTATTATCTTTAAAACGGCAAATAATCATGTCTGTGTATGGGAGTCCCAGATAAATATTTTTTTAACAGTTTTTTTTATTATTTGCTGTTATAACGGCAACAGAAATACATCATCAGCTGTTTCTCTTCTTCTGAAAATTTCAACTGTTTCTCTATCATGGTTAATGAGATACAGCCTGGTGACAGACATACAGACTGGTTAGGGTTCCGTACCTTAAAAGTTAAAAAGAGGAACCCTCATAAGACCTCTCTCTTTTCCGTCTGTCTGTCTTGTGTCACCACCAATCTTCTCAAGAACGGCTGGACCTAGTAAAAGGTGTATAAAGGTCAAGGTCCTGAGTCAACACGATAAAAAGATATGGGCAAATTTAGATTTTCGCGAAAAATTGTAATTTACCGTAATTTTCAACTTTTTCGGAATTTTCCATTTACCCTTCCTGAGAAAATCGGTGGTGATTATTTACTAAATTTATTATGGCGGTATAATGGGTAGGTATGGTACCCTCGACGTGCGAATTCGAATAGCAATAGCCGGGATTTTTGTAAGAACGATGCAAGTAAGCCGGCGGTTCACTTAATGCTAAGTGATAGCCACCCATGCTCATCTGCGGGTTGCAGATGAGCATGGTTGAGCCTTGTAGTAAAGTGTTCTCACCTAGGGCTTGGGGCACCAAAATACCAGCTCGTTTTATTTGACCGCATCCAACGAAGGGCTGCTCGAATCGTCGACGACCAGGTCCGATCGCCTCGACTTTAGGAAAAATGTTGTGTCCCTTTGCATTTTCTATCGGATATATTACAGGGAGTGCTCTGAGGAATTGTTTGGATTGATACCTGCTGGTGAATTTCACCATCGTAGAACACGTCAAACCTCCAATTAGCATCGACACTACCTTGATGGTTGGCGGTTCACCACTGTGCGTTTTTGACGCAATTTTCTGTCCTAAACAGTTACTTTTTAGAACAAGTTGTCACCAGCGGTATTTCCAGACCGATACGTCGTAGGGACCTTCGAGAAGGGAGCCTATTCTAACCTTAAAGGCCAAAATTGTGAGTTAACCAATGTAATGTGTCCATGAGCGGCGGTGGTTTCTTTCCATCAGGTGACTCGCTTGTTCGCTTGCCTCCCTTTTCCATAAAAAAATAACCTCATAAACTAGCCAAAACTTAGAATTATAATACTTCCACTTCACGCCGGTCTTCTATGAGGTCGTGGTACTTCACGCCGGTCTTCTATAAGGTCGTGGTACTTCCCCCGGACGAAACTGACCATTCACGCAGCAGCGAAACAACAGCTGTTGCGTGGTACGTGGCCCTACTACAGTAACACTACTCACTTCATATATTTTTGAAGTATTTCTTTTGTTATTTCGAAAATATGCAGGTTTCCGCTCGATAGTTTCCTTCACTACTGAGCACATGATAAGACAAATCTTAAAATTAACAAACTTCATTTGTGCTGCCACCGGGACTTGAACTCAGGTTGCTCCGGTATATTGAATGACTCTGAGCTGTCACAGCTCTCGTATTAATCTGTACAGCAGTCATCAAACCACCGCTTGGGGAGCCCAACGAGCTACAGCACGAGTTGTCATTATCACTACATAGTATAGAACCATTTTTTTTTACTAACGAAAAACAAAACCGACTTCAAATATCTCGCTCTGTATTCGTCTTATAATTGATTTTCAGGAGTTCCCTAAGTATCTCCGGAGCCCAAGATCCAATACCAATAAAATTAATATGGGACCACATGGGAAGCAGCAGCTTTGAAATAAAAAAAAATCATCAAAATCGGTTCTGAGGTAACAAACATAAAAAAAAATACAGTCGAATTGCGAACCTCCTCCTTTTGAAGTCGGTTAAAAACAAAGTCGTCCCGCTGTCTGTCTGTCCCTATGTATGCTTAGATCTTTAAAACTATGCAACGGATCTTCATAAAGTTTTTTTACTAGATGGAGTGATTCAAGAGGAATATTTATATGTATAATACATTGCACCCGTGCGAAGCCGGAGCGGGTCGCTAGTATTATTAGAAATATTAGAAATACTTAAATTCATTTACGTTTACGTAATAATTAAGCTATTCGATTTTTGAAAAGTAAAGACGGGTGTCCATTATTGGACTACTGCTTCAGATAAAAAAAGATAAACACTCAAACAATTGCGTACGTTTATGCACCGTAGCGCCGTATTCTTGTACTAGATCAGTACGTAATGTGAATGGATTTTAAGTGGATCTGATAATTAATCTTTAAACTAAGTCAAGATCACGAGAGTGTTTGTATATGTAATCAATGATAGTGTTTTTAGGGTTCCGTACCGAAAGGGTAAAACGGGACCCGTTCACTAAGACGCTCTCTCTCTCTGTCTGTCTGTATCTCATGAACCGTGATAGTTAGACAGATGAAATTATATATATAATAGTACCTAGAACCCTTCGTGCGCAAGTCCAACTCGACCTCGGCCGGTTTTTAGTCTATTTATAGTTAAAAGTTAAAAACTTGATATAAAATTAAATGCAAGAAAAGTAAGAAGTGCACGATCCTTAAAGAGTATTGTTAATACTGTAAGATTTTAAGATTAATTTCATATATTACTAGCTGACCCGGCGACGTTGTTTTGCCATATAAATTATTTGTAAGGTAGAAAAAAACGTTTGGGGTGGACCACCCTTAACACTTAGAGGGATGAAAAATAGATGTTGTCCGATGTTTTTCAAAAAAGGTTGTTGACCCTGGCCGATATGCACACAAAATTTCACGAAAGTCGGTCGAGCCGTTTCGGAGAAGTTCAATTACAAACACCGTGACACGAGAATTTTATATATTAGATTTATTTAGTATCTGTTTTTTTTTTATTTGTCGTAACCTTGCCGCATTATTCAATGTGTATGCATTATCAAGATGTTCATTGTAATTAAATTTAATAAATAACTCGCTTACTAATTGAAGTTAGTAAATTTCCATTTGATTGTTTAACGATTTAATGATTGCTGTAAATTACGTTTTTTTAGATTATACCTTAAATACAGTGTTATATGAATACATTAATTAAGAAGTTATTTACATGTATGCTTGTAGTTTCTTGTATTTTAAGGTATAATATTAATACTTTAGGACACCCAATGGGTAATATATAATCGATAACAGTTTGAAACATATATATTTTTTAAATAAATACGCACTGTACAATTGTACATAAACATAACATAAACACACAGGAAGTTATCCATTTAGGCCTTGCTAATAATCCAGAACTGCATTTTGAGAGCCATGTAAATAATCTTATGAATGATTGTTATTAAAAATAAGAAATTTTATACGGAATTAGAAAATGTTTATGTATTGAATTAAGATAAGGGTTAGTAAAAAGTTTAGTGCTTTCAAAATTTACCTATTGCGACACTGTGTATGGTCCGTGTTTGTTGTCTAAAACGCGTGTGCCCGCTACTGTTTTAAGATACCGCGCCGAAAGAGTAAACTTCATTTAGCCAGTTTATTATTCGACGTTATACCTATATAAAAATTAAATTGGAAGCGGAGCTACTAGAAATATCTTAGCAGATGTTCTGCCAAACCGCTTTCCTTGCCACCGTCTAGAACATCAGCGTTTAGAGGAAGCTTCAAGTATGCCGCCACCGCTGCTGAAATGATATATCTCGTTTCTCACACTAAAACCGTACCATTAACTGAAAAGTAAGCACATTCCTGACGCCCGCACATGTATGAATTGGTGCATGGCGTGATGTACGAAGCTGGCGCGAGGCCTGCTTTTAAAACGAGTCTCGGGGGCCCTGTCCCCATTACTCGGGCGTGTATCTCGACCAGCGAATGGCTGGTCGGTGGTGAGGATGGCCATCGGCCATCCCTTTCCCTGACCGCGGTAGCGGCACTTGCGGGTGTACGGCGTTACACGCGGTGTGTAACGCAAGGACTACATCGTCTTCGACACAGCGGCGGAAGTGCGGTCGGGTCCGGCCCCCCAATGGCCTGTTCCGACCGCAGTAGCTCACGTGGGAGCGGACGTCGGTCAGGAGGACAGGCGTGGAGTGGAGCAATATTCTCCAGGTGTGGGTGTGGTCCGTTGTCGGCCCTGTCGTACATGCGACGGGCCAACCGGACCACAAACTCCTTGATGGACTCGATCTTTAGATCTCGGGCGATTACGTCGTTCCTGACGTAACGCCCGGCCCCCACGATTGCTCGAAGGGCGAAGTTCCGCTGCGCCTGGAGCCTGCGCCTCTGCGAGGCGGAAACCAATGCATACCACGCCGGAGCGGCGTAGGTCAAGCGCGAACGGATGTAGGTTTTATAGACGCCCAGTTTCGTCTTAACAGGTAGCTTGGATGCCAGGATTGGGTAAAGGACCGCTCGAGCTGCCCTGGCTTGTCGAACAGAGTGTTCGACTTGGGGCGCCATACTCAGCGAGCGGTCTATCCGGCACCCAAGATACCTGATGGTGTCTTGGTTCGTTATCGCTTGACCTCGCAGCTCAAGCGTGGGTTGGTATTTGATGTGGCGGATGTAGATGGCGGACGTCTTGTCAACATTGACAGACATCCGCCACTTGTCCAGCCATTCGGACAGCGGGTCCAGTTGGCGCTGCATGTTCCTCGCTGCATTCGCCGCTTTGTGTGAAAACGTGAAGAACGCGCTGTCGTCCGCATACAGGGCCAACAGTACGTCCTCATCCCAGTCGGAGGCGTTTTGCTCCAAGGTGGGAATGTCGTCCGTGTACACCGCATACAGGTGTGGCGACAGACAACTACCTTGTGGTACACCGGCTTTGATACATAGTACCGCCGAGTCGGCTCCCTCGACGTGTACGACGAACTTCCGGTCCCGGAGAAACGACGCTACTAACCGCACGAGCACCCGGTGGGTGGTGGTGTTTTCCAGCAGCTTATGTAGCAGGCCCTCGTGCCACACTCTGTCGAAGGCCTTCTCCATATCGAGAAGGACCCCCAGACAGATGCGGCCCCGGTTGTACTGGGCCGCAAGATAGTGCAGCACTCGGTGGCTGCACCAGCTGCGCCGTGGTGGAATGGCCGCTGCGGAAACCGAACTGTTATCTGCGTAGCTCGATGCAGGGAACTATTCTTCGCAGCAGTAACCGTTCAAAAAGATTGCTACGTGCGGCAGTAGCGTAATCGGTCGGTAGCTCCCCGGCAGTCGTCGGTCCTTGCCCGGTTTCAGCAGGACGATGATCTTACCGGTTTTCCACTCAGAGGGGAAGTGCGCCGTGCGCAGTACACCATTGTACAGGCGGCACAGCGCCACTAACCCCCTTTTCGGTAGTTGCCTTATCGCCAACGTCGTGATTCCGTCGGTGCCGGGTGCCTTGCGGAGCGCGAGATGACTCGCGGCTCTACGCGCTTCGGCCGGAGTGATGAAAAGTCCACCATCCAGCCGTGGCACCGGCCCCGACAGGAACACCTGTATGTGCCGCTCCACTTCCTGGTGGAACGCAATGGCGCCTGGGGCCGATGTGTTGATGTGTTGGGCACAAATTGCCCTTCTAAGTGCTCTGCCAGAATGTCAGCCCTTTCTTGGGCTGCAACGTGCTTGCGCCCATCACTGCCCACGAGTGGACAGATGGGCTGTGATGTGCGGCTGAGCTGCCGGTTGAGGTGGTGAAGGGAGGTTTGGGACTCGGAGGCCTGCTCAATACGACGCTCCCACCCTTCACCCCTGTACGCCTTGATGGCTGCCGACAGCTCGTCCTTGAGCCGATTGAGTTTTGTCTTCA